GCTATTTGCAGTCATTTTATTTCTATAAAATGTTTCAACTGGAACTGTGCTTGTTATCAGAAAAATTCACTATCTTTGAAGGCCTTTAAATGAGACCTTTGTCAGATCTTTATTCATAGTCATGAACACAGTTATCCACGGGTATCCACGCTCCCTGTTGTGCTGAAGAATGTATTAACTTACAGCTTTTATTTTAAGGGACTCTATAATGAATGTTGCAGTTTCTACCGTGGATGAAGGAAACCCAGTTTCTGTCCTCATAATCCAGGAACTTCCTGAGGTAGTCTCCAACTGTACTCCACTAGTTCATGAGCCTATAGTCAGAAGAAAATAAAATGAGAATTAAACTTTTCCATGGATAGGGAAATACTGTAGAAATTATATCTGAGTTCCTCTGCTTTGTCTTCCATTTGAATTTCTCGTTTTGTCTTTTTTACTCTTCTGTTGAAAATGCTTATTCAAATGTTCAGGGAGATATATAGTACAGTTCTCTGATTATGCTTCTCCCAAATGCACATAGGTCAGAATCCCTTGCTGGAAATCTTAACATTTTCATGAAGATGGAAAGCTTGCAAATTAGAGAGGGCTCAGGTCTTGAAACCCTGGCAAGTTTTTACTTTCCAATGTATTGTCGAAGGCTTTCCGCTTTCAAAGAAACAAATCTCCTTTGTTCTGTCCTGGCTCCATCCCTGAACCACGAAATATCTAGGACATTAATTAGACACCTAGGATATTAATTAGTAACAATTAATTATTATTAATTAAATTATTATTATAACCAAGAGCAAAGGGCCCTAATTCAGGAGGGGAACAAAAAGTCTGAAGAAGTTCGAGAAGGAAAGGTGGTATGTTTTAATGAATTAATCAGTGATATTCATGAAATTTGGAGAGTCAGTTCAGTGTAGGGGTTAAGGTACCAGACTACAAATCAGGAGACTGTCAGTTCTAGTCCCACCTTAGGTATGAAGCCAGCTGTGTAACCTTGGGCTAATCTTTCCCCCTCTGACCTGAGAAGAAGGCAAGGTGAAGCCACTTCTGGAAATGTTGCCAAGAAAACTGTATGGTCCAAACAGCTGCCAGGAATCAAGACCGACTCAAAGGCACGCCCCCCCCCCAAAAAAAATCATGAAATTGAGATGAAAGGTATAAATCTTGCAAGGGATCCTTGAGCCCTGGAATTCTACCCTTGACAAATGGCCTGTAGAACATAAAAAGGGAATTTATGGTGTATCTTTTCAATATTCACAAAGGATAGATGGGAAAATAATTTGAACTATGCAATTTAAAGCCGCTTGATCAGATATTTCTTAACAGAGCTTGATTATAATCTTTCCTCCAAGTCTGTGTTTATCAAATGCACTACTGAGTACATATCTGGGTTTTGCAAACCTTAGTTAAGGATAACAGCATGGCTTGTAGGATTTATATGCAAATGTACATTTTTAATAAGATTATTTCATTTATGCTGTGGTTTTCCTGGGTTTAAAAAAATTGGAACAGCTGTCAGGGCTGCTTGCTTTTAACCACAGAATTATAGAGATAAATGCTATGGGATTTTTTAAAGCTTTCTTTTAATACTACAAACTGTGACTATTGGGACTACTGCAAGATAGGATATCATGGAAAAGATTAATCTCTTAATTCAAGGTTGATCAGATCTCTTTCCCAATATAGGAAATGATATCAAGAATATTAAATGAAAAAAAAATCATGGCCAATTTTGTAGGCCTGTCTGCTGATCATTTCACTCCTGCTGGATCTGTGTCAGGATGTTCTGTAAATCATGTTCAAGCTGGCTTCCTTTGCAGCTATCCTGTGGAAAGTGGCTTCTTGTAGAGGGCAAAGGGAATGGCCTAGAGCAGGGTTCCTCAACCTTGGCAACTTTAAGACGGGTGGACTTCAACTCCCAGAATTCCCCAGCCAGCCTTAAGTCCACCCGTCTTAAAGTTGCCAAGGATGAGGAACCCTGGCCTAGAGGGACAGGAGGAAGAGCCATTGCCAAGATTGTAGATTGTCAGATAAAAGTAACTTGACTCCAGGGCAGGAATGTAACTTATGTAAACTCCTCGGACAAGCCCCTCCCTAGTTCACAAGAAGATAAAAGAGGGAGTGGGGAGGCGCATTCAGACTTGCAAGATTCTGTTACCGTAACTTCAAAATAAAAGGAGTATTGCTCTATATAACTATATGGTTTCCTAGTCTGGTTTACCTTGAAGGGCTGATATTTCTGTGCCTATCCACATGCGCCCAGAAGACCTTTAGAGAGCCTCCAAGGTCTGGAGAATTCTGAGAGTTGAAGTCCACACATCTTAAAGTTGCTGAGGTTGAGAAACACTGGTCTAGTCCAAAGCATCTTGAGTATTCACTGTCCATAAATTGGTCATCACTGCAATAGATTTTGGATGCTTGAGGGCTACATGTTCAGAAGTAGCAAGTATAACAACATTTCCTGAAAAATGACCCTCTTCCATAATCTGCGAGAGAAGGGAGAGGATAGAGTTATTTCATGTTTTATATTTGTTTTAGAATGTGGTATCTGTTTCTCTGGGTATAATCCAGATACACCATCACTCTGCTTGTAGATCTTATAATTTACTATTCTGAGCAGAAGGGACATTTATTGATAAATATAAAACATGGGTTTATATTTTATAATAGATTTGAAATCAGTGGTTAATGTTCGTTATGAGCCATAATTTTCAAAGTAATCATGTCAAACTTAAAATAGGATTTTCACAAGCCCCAGATGTATTTATAAAATGTCTTAAATGAAAGGACAAAGGCTATAGTGGGGTTCATTCAATTTGCTTTTTCAATCTACTCAATTAGGAAGTTTTAAGTATTCCCCAGGAGGAAAAAAAAACTCCTTTTTTTTCTTTCAGTGAATGACAAGGAATTGACTGATATAATCATGCCTAGAAAAACCTATAGAAAAGCAATGTTTTCCCTTCAACAGTGAAAAGGCAGGGAGACGCATACCAGCTCACGATGTTCCATACCTCCTGATAGATTTGATTTCCATACACGAGTTGTGCCATCTTTCCAACCGCCATCCATAAATTATTAAATTCTTTGGTGAGGGTCACAATCATTCACGGGGCAAAGGAGTTGCCTACGCCTAAAAGCAAAGACGTGGCTTTGCAAGTGATCTTAAGCCTATGTAAATAAGCACAAACGTATCTGTTTACTTCCAACTCCCTGGCAGTATTTACAGCTACTCTGCGTCTTTGTTTCTGTGCGGGAATAAACTGGTTGTCAGGAGCTAGACGTGAGTTAACAGTTGTATCTACAAAGGGGAAGCGTTCCCTGGTGCCTTGCTCGGATTAGGGCAGCATATAAATTGCAGTAAACAGATATATAAACTTATATCAGATTGGCTCTATAGTGCTATTTGGAGGGGTTAAACAAATGTGAGTGTCTTTTACTTGCCCTTCCCATCTCTTCCTTCTGGAAGAACTTCCTTTCCTTTCCTTTCCTTTCCTTTCCTTTCCTTTCCTTTCCCTTCCCTTCCCTTCCCTTCCCTTCCTCATCTTCCTCCCTCCCTCCCTCCCTCCCTTCCCCTTCTTCTTGCTGACT